TGACTTAATTACTAAATTTACACCTTAATTATTGTGGCTGTGATATTCGTGAAGATTTTTTTTTTATTAGCTAAAATAGCATTTATTTAAATAAATTTATCTAACTAATAATAACTCTGAAATTAATACTAATTTATATATCTTTTATATATATTTATAAAAACAAATACTCTTAATCAATATCTTTAAAACATATATTAAAAAATCCAAATAAAAAATAACTGAAGACCCACCTGTTTCACGACTCTGGTTGACTCTGACCCCGTCTCGCCCTCTAGTTCTCCCCTCCTATATAAAATTCGTTATTCCCCTTCACTTTCCCATCACAGACTTCCTCCTCTCCCTCCTCCAGAGCACTCAGAAATTGGAATTCTATTCCTTCTACTTCTAGCAGATCCCTCGAAGAAATGAAGGTATGAATCAAGAATTCGTCTCACTGTTTTTCTTGCTGAAATTCTGAATCTTAAGGCAGACTACTTAATGATAATTTGATCTGTGTTTTTCACAGAAAGTAGTGGTGAAATTGGAAGTTTACGATGAGAAATCCAAGAAAAAAGCCATGAAAATAGTCTCGAGCATTTCAGGTATGTTATTCAGTTTCACTCGTATTCATTCAACCCTCGTTTTAATCTTTGAAATCTCAGATCTCGAAGCTAACGAACTCGATCCCGCTCCTGTAGGTGTTAATTCGGTTTCCATGGATATGAAGGACAGGAAGCTGACAGTGACCGGAGCCGTGGATGCGGTGGTGATAGTGAATAAACTGAGGAAGATATGCTGCACGGAAATAGTGTCGGTCGGACCGGAGAAGGAGGAGAAGAAGAAGGAAGAGCCGAAGAAAGAGGAGAAGAAGGAGGAACCGAAGAAGGATGACAAGAAGAAAGAAGATCAAGTGGCTGAGCTTGTGAAGGCTTACAAAGCGTACAATCCTCATCTGACCCAATACTATTTCGTTAGAAGCGTAGAGGAAGATCCCAATGCCTGCGTTATCTGCTAAACCTTTTTCTTTTTCAGTTTTTTTGAAGGGGAAGATAAATAAATCCTCCCAAAGGGAAAGAAATCGTACCCCGTAGCTTTTCGTAGAGCTTGTGAATAACTATCGTGTGATGTTTAAGATTGGGATTGGGAATGAATTACTCTGGTTTTTTTGTAGGACTGAAGTTGAATTATCAAATTTTGAAGATATATGTCATATTGGATAGTTTGTGTTTTTCCGTTTTTTTGAAGGGGAAGATAAATAAATCCTCCCAACGGGAAAGAAATCGTACTCCGCAGCTCTTCTTAGAGCTTGTGAATAATTATCGTGTGATGTTTAAGATTGGGATTGGGAATGAATTACTTTGGTTTTTTGTAGGACTGAAGTTGAATTATCAAATTTGGAAGATATATGTTATATTGGATGGTTGTGTTTTTCTGTTTCTTTGCTTATCCATAGTTTTTTCAATGAAGCATTGGTCCACAGATATTAGTTAATTGGGAGAAATTAGCACTTTTTTCAAAAGCAACTTTACCAATTTTTAAATAAAGTGGTTTAAATTTTACGAAATTTGAAGTGGTCAATAACGGGGACCCTTCCAGAGGGAAATTGCGCGATAGAGTTGAGTTCTTGGTGACAGATGGGCAGAGTGCCTGCCTGACACTATGAGGGCAGTGTCCACACTTCCAGATTGAATATACGTGTGAAGATTTGTTGTAAGAGAAAGTGCTGAAAATAACACCCAAGCCGGGATGCTGCGAAGCCTTTCATGAACAACAAACATGAACTTTGGTTTGAAAGAGGATTGAAACAAATTTTTTTTTTTTTTTTTTTTAAGTTAGGGTTATGAACATAATTTTCAAGGAAATAAGTGTCATTCAAGCGCAAGCAGTGCAATGTGCAAATAGGTAACGGTGATGTTAACTTGCTTTATTTACAAAAAAAAAAAAGAAAAGAAAAGAAAAGAAAAGAAAGATGTTTGTAGCTTTTATTTTATTACGGTGCTATACTATTTGATCGGAAAAAAAGAAAATATGAAAAGAAAAGATATAATGGATTCTTTATCAATTTTTATGGAATATCAGCGTCAGTGATCCAACACTAAAATGAATTGAATTTTTTAACTTTTAAATATTTTACATTTCACACTTTATATATATATATATAATAATGTAATTTACTTATCAATTTTAATTTTTAATATAGTATTAAAGTTTTTTTTTCTTTTTAATTTTATTCTTATTAATAATTACTTCATTCTTAATTTAAAGGTTTTAATTAATAAAAATCTGTTTTTAAGAATTTATATATATATATAAATTTTGTGTTTTAACTTATGCCCGTGTTGTACAATTACATTTTATTGTTAATAAATGCAATTAATGAATCATTACTATCATTC